AGAGAGAGAGAGGGAGACACAGGATCCGAAGCAGGCTCCAGGCTCTGAGCTGTTAGCACAGAACCCAGTGTGGGGCTTGAACTCGTGAACCATGAGTTCATGACCTGAGCTAAAATCGGATGCTTAACCAACTGAGCCACCCAGGTGCCCCCATTTGTTTTGTTCCTTAAATTTCATGTATGAATGATAATTGGCTTCAATTTTAAATTCTCTTCACCCTTCATTGATTTTTGAGTTGGAAAGGTTTTCAGTAGATTCCTCACATGGAAGCTGTTTCACCCTTTAGCCACTTTATTATTCTTTACACTTATTCTTTTGTTATGTTTTTAGGTAAGCTCCACTCCCATTGCGGGGCTTGAACTCATGACCCCAAGATGAAGAGTTATATGGTCTACCCACTGAGCCAGCCAGGCGCTCCACCTTATACTTATTCTTGTTGTCATGCCTGTGGGCTGAATGTGGAAAAGTGTGGGTAGCCCGTGGGTGAGAGTAATGGAGTCCTAATGGGCAGGTATTTTTGGTGGATTGATTACTAGTGTTTCATTCCCAGCCACACCCTCCCCCGTGCTCAGTGAAAGTATTGCCCTTACCCGAGTGAGATTCACATATGGAAAGACAGCTGTCCTCCAGTGGGCTTCATGTGTAGACTTAGAGCAAAAGTGAAAGTACTACTTGAGAACAAGGTCCTGTATGTTCCAGAAAGTAATAAACTCCCGGTAATCAGGTACCCTGAATATATGTTTCACATGTAGCCAAATGAAATATAACAGGGGATTGGTACTACACTTAGTATCAAAAGCAGCTCCATACAATCAGGAAGAGAGATCAGTTCAGGGTTGGTGAAACTGTTAGCCTTTTATAAGAAAGAGTTCTGTATATTTGAACCAGAATGAAATTAAATTCTGTTCAGAATAGTATAGAAAGGACAGGAGGAAATTTTTATTTTAAGTTTCTTTATTTTTGAGAAAGAGCAGAGGAAGGGCAGAGAGAAGGGGACAGAGAATCCCAAGTGGGCTCTTCCCTGACAGCAGAGAGCCGGACACAGGGCTTGAACTCACAAACCGTGAGATCATGACCTGAGCCGAAGTCGGACACATAACTGACTGAGCCACCCAGGCGCCCCTAGAAATGAGTGAGAATTTTATTTTATTTATTTTTTTTTAAATTTTTTTTTTTAATGTTTATTTATTTTTGAGACAGAGACAGAGTGTGAACAGGGGAGGGGCAGAGAGAGAGGGAGACACAGAATCTGAAACAGGCTCCAGGCTCTGAGCTGTCAGCACAGAGCCCAATGCGGGGCTTGAACCCACAAACCGTGAGATCATGACCTGAGCTGAAGTCAGATGCTTAACTGACTGAGCCACCCAGGTGCCCCATGAGTGAGAATTTTAAAATACTCCTGAAACCATTAGAATTACTCTTAACTAAAGACTTGGAATTTGACCCGAAAACATCATATTGCTTAATCTTAACATTTACTCCCTTTCTTCTGATTTTTCTTTTAAATCTTTTTTTAGTAGGAAGTATTGTCTGTTTTTTTAATCTGGTATAACTAGTGACTCAATTGTCTGCTTCTTTTATTTAATACCTAGCCCATCTTCTATTTCTGAAGTATCCCACAAATAATATTTCCTCTTCCAATCTAGTCTGAGCCTTGGCAGTGTTCAAGTTCTCTAAAAGAGAACAAAATCTTCTCTCGCCTGTTTTAGAAACAGTCAGGTACAAAAGGAAAAGTGAAGCGATTTTAGCTATTCAGACTTGGCACCAATTCTCTGTTCTTTTGTGCAGTGAAGAAAAGAGCCTTGCCCTAATTTGATATTGGTACTACTTTCTTTTTTTTTAAGTGAGATAAAATTGGTACAAAACATATGTTTCAGGTATACAAAATTATAATTCGACATCTGTGTTCATTACAGAGTGATCGTCTGGTTACCATCCATCACCATACATTTGACCCCATTTGCCCATTTCACTCATCTTCCATCCCCCTTCCCTTCTGGTAACCTGTTCTTCGTGTCTATGAATTGGTTTGGTTTGTTTGTTTAAATTCCACATGTGAGTGAAATGCAGTTTTTGTCTTTCTCTTTCTGACTTATTTCACTTAACTTAGTACCCTGAAGGTCCATCTGTGTCTCAAATGACAAGATTCATTCTTTTTTATGGCTGAGCAATATACTCCATTATGTACATATACCACAATTTCCTTATCCATTCATCCATCGATGGCCATTTAGGTTTTTATATCTTGGCTACTGTAAATAATGCTGCTATAAACGTCAGGGTGTGTGTATCTTTTCAATTTAGTGTTCATATTCTTCAGATAATCCAGAAGTAAAATAGCTGGATTTATATGGTAGTTCTTTAAAAAAGTTTTTTTATTTTTTTTTTAATTTTTTTTCAACATTTATTTATTTTTGGGACAGAGAGAGACAGAGCATGAACAGGGGAGGGGCAGAGAGAGAGGGAGACACAGAATCGGAAACAGGCTCCAGGCTCTGAGCCATCAGCCCAGAGCCTGACGCGGGGCTTGAACTCACGGACCGCGAGATCGTGACCTGGCTGAAGTCGGACGCTTAACCGACTGCGCCACCCAGGCGCCCAAAAAAGTTTTTTTATTAACTAATCTCTATCCCTAACACGGGGCTTGAACTCACAACCCTGAGATCAAGAGTCTCATCCTCTACCAACTGAGCCGGCCAGGCACCCCCGATAGTTCTATTCTTAACTTTTTGAGGAGTGTCCATACTGTTGTCCACGGTGGCTGCCTTAGTTGACGTTCCCACCAACAGAATCAGGTCATTTTTCTCCACATCATCTCTAACACCTGTTATTTCTTTTTGTTGACAGCCAATATAACTGATGTGAGGTGGTATCTCATTGTGATTTTGGTTTGCATTTCCCTGCTGATGAGTGATGTTGAGAATCTTTTCATTTGCCTGGTGGCCATCTGTATATCTTGTGTGGAACAATGTAATTTTTTTTTAACGTTTATTTATTTTTGAGACGGAGAGAGACAGAGCATGAACGGGGGAGGGTCAGAGAGAGGGAGACACAGAATCTGAAACAGGCTCCAGGCTCTGAGCTGTCAGCACAGAGCCCGACGCGGGGCTCGAACTCACAGACCGTGAGATCATGACCTGAGCCGAAGTCGGCCGCTTAACCGACTGAGCCACCCAGGCGCCCCGTCTGCCCATTTTTTAATTGGGTTGTTTGGTATTGGTTCTGCTTTTTCATGAAAAAGCCATGAGGCTTTTTCCATAACCTTAGGCCTAGGGTATGTTTATACCAGTTTATTTCTGCTAAACATGTATGTTTAGTAAATAATGCCCTTGGGTTTCTGTTTTGGTTTGTTGTCCTGTTTCATTTATCTATCTATCTATCTATTTATTTATTTATTTACTTACTTATTTATTAAAAAAAATTTTTTTTGAGTAAGCCCCACACTGAGGCTTGAACTCACAACCCTGAGATCAAGACCTGAGCTGAGATTAAGAGTCAGATGATTAACTGACTGAGCCATCTAGGCACCCATTTCTTCTCTTAGATGAGAGTTTTCATGAGCATTTGCCTGTTCCTCTAGCTGGCCAATATGTTAAACTTAGTAATAAGATATCTTAGAGACACTTACTTCCAACTGATAATAGAAATAGAAATTATTGGAGATATTCAACAACAAAAAACCCAGAAACTGTTTTACTTTCATTTTATGTCCTCTCTCAATGACACTATGACAGCCCTAATCATCCTTTCTTTTCTTTTCCTTTGTAGCATTACCAGGAATGTGACAAGGTTGAGGTATGTTGGAGCCTATTTGTATGCATGGGTGGCCCATTTCCCTTGCAGATAATTATTGCTCTTTGGTCCTCTTTAGGAGAAGGGACAAGCAGTCAGTTTTCCTTTCATCTCAGTGAGCGTTGGTGTACAGAGTGGCCAGGTGTTGGAACAGTTTTATTTAAAACCATCAAGATAGGGGCACCTAGCTGGCTCATTTGGTGGAACATGTAACTCTTAACCTTGGGGCTGTAGGTTCAAGCCCCGTGTGGTATGTAGAGACTACTTAAAAAAAAATCTTTAAAAAAATTAGAAACAGAAAGAGAGAAAGAAAGAGAGAAGGAAGGAAGGAAGGAAGGAA